ATCCTCACTCCGTTGTCATTCACTTTGTCTTCTCCGTGCTGCCCGATCGCCTGTCCTCTACTGGAAGCTTTCCCTACTCTGGAGTTGAAATCGCCCACCATGACAACTTCTCCCTTCCTACTGAACCTCTGGACATCTTCCCCAATTTGTCCTGGGGGGGGTGCCCGATTTTTCTGGTGGTGTTAAACACGCAATGGTGCTATTCGCTTCACGCTGAAAACCCACCGACGGAGACCTGTGTCCTCTGCATAGGGGAACCGGCGGAGAAATAAGAACAAGAACCCCGTTTTCCTTAGGTAGATGCCTGCTTCAAGTAAGAGCTTGGAAGTTGAGGACATGGGCTCGGTTTGAGGTAACCAGTGAACGTCGAGCCTTGCGCGATATATGCAGTTGTCAAGTGGTGACGCGTACTTCTCACATACCCGCCGGATTTTTCGTCTACCATCCACAGTAGTAGCTACAATAGTGTTGTCGTTCGTTTCAAGACGAACGAAACTTCCGTTACCCACGTTTTGTTGTTATTGCGTCTGCATGACTGGACTACACTACAAGACGCGCTGCAAGCACTGAGTCATCGCTCGGGAGGGCGTACAAAAGAGGTTTCATCTCCTTCGAAACCTGATCACAACGTGGTACTGAACTATGTACTATTACTTATCCTCCTCCCTGATCGCTACGCTGCGAACGTAGGGGGGCCGCCCCTGTTACCCTGCCGGCGAGCCGCTGACTCATCGCAACGGTCGATCGGCCCATGGACGCCCATCCATGCCCCTACGGCTCTGCGTTCGGTTTGTCCATACGGGTGCGCACCTCACGCTGGCGTTTCTTTACTGATGGTAGACAATGCCAACACCCCAAGGTAGTCCGACACACATACTGGTTTGCTTGGCAGCTGCACGATTGATCTGCCCCGAGAAGCACCCCAATCCACGCCTAAGGGCACGGGAGGGTTGCGGAGAAAACGAAAACGTCGATCGCACGTGAAATTCGAATAAGTCGGCGTGGCCGCGACGCGGGAACACAGCGTTACACGCAAGGGCATGTCGAACATGATACAACGAAAAACAATGAATGATTATGCGTCACGGGACATGATTCGACATCACGGTTACGGCTGACGATAACCAACAAAGTAGGGAACAGCCCCAAAGTGAAAACAGGAGTGCCGAAGAGTAGCGAGCGCGGTGGCAGCAAATCTGCATAGCACGGCATGGCGTGTGAAAACAATCGTAGCTGAGGAAGCAAAGAACGCGCGAACGGTGGTCAACGAACGGCAAGACGAATGGGATCTCTACCTTCCCCACGTTGAATTCAACTACAACAGCGCGATCAGCGCTGCCACTGGACTCGCGCGGAACAAAGTTCACATCAACAGGCGTCTCCGCTTCCCGCTCACCATTTTCGTCTACGCTTGTGGCTACCAAGGCTTAGCACGTGACCAATTGGAACACTACAGTGTCGCTGTTGACCGGCAACAACGTCGACCCTTTGATCTTGGACGGTGTGATTCACACGCTCGGCGCCACCGTTGCCGTTGGGGTGGTATCTGTATT